ATCAACTCAGGTCCGCCTCAGGGATGATGCCCTGAAGGGGGGTTTACTACGGGCCAGTGACGATGGCGCGACCGCGTGCGACACGAGCGCACCTCAATCTCTTGGTTTCTATCTCTACTCGATAGTTTTTTTCTGCTTACATGTAATAATATTCAAACACTGAAAGAGACTGAGCTAAACTTGAGGTGATGCCCTTTCTATGGGTTTTTATGCCCCTGTGTGCACAAGAACAGCAGTACTCGTCGTCACGATTTTAAGAATAAACCGTAACTCGTTGTGCAGACGAATCTAATCTTTTCAAAGTTATTAACTGATGCTGATGTCATCATCTGCAGAACGCTTTCGACGGAATTCAGATGTTTGAGCTAAGCGCTATATTATATTACTACGGCATGTACCAGGTGCTTTGACAAGGAAGTGGAGCATGCAGATGCCCGCTGTAGCAGACTTTCGTCCAATACACTTCCTTACAAATTTTTAAATCTTGTCTATGTCTTTCTCTTTTCAATACTGTAAAATAACAATATCCCAATATTTTATACTAGCGCCGTATACGCCACGTAGTTCCACACTTCAGATAAATGTATTCTTCAAAAATGTAGTGCGGTATATTATCTCCAAATTTGTAGAAACAGGACTTTTGGCAGCAGCAAATAGTCAAAGAATTTTTTTCAGTAGCGACTGTGCTTTGGCTTATACTTTTGTATTTTGCACTACAATCGCCGCGAATCACCGGCACATACTGGCTTGTCAGCATATGTCACGCTAATCCTATTGCTGCCTTCAAGAACATTTTTGAAGCTCTGCCTTATTTTGAACTGAGAGGTCATTATTTTGCTACGAGTAATGCCGACAGCGCTTATCAGAAATTTAGGAACTAGCGTCACAATCTCAACTTTGTACGCTTACACTGACATGGTTACGCCGGGTTCATCGCTGGTAGCGTTAGCCGCAGATGGAATTTTCATGATAGGTGTAACAATCATAGTAGACAATGTTGAATGGTGCTACATTAGATCCAGAATAGCTGCGCTGATTAGGAGGAAACAACTGGTAAGACTACTGCTTTCAACTGAAGACTTTACGTTAATTATAACAACATTAGGAGCAACTAAAAAGTCAAACTGAACGACATTCGTGGCATCAAGACGAAGAAGTTCGTGAGTTAAAACCCGACATCGATGCTGAAGATGTAGCCAAAGTTTGGGAATCAAGCGGAGAATTGTCCGTATACAGATTTGAAATAAGAGCATACCCTGGAGAGGTATGGAAAGGAGCAAACCTTACCAATTAGTATAGTTCCATTAGGTCAGCGTTATTCTTGGACATCCGGGAGCGGGAAAGACGACCACTTTCAAGATGATGTGCGGAAGTATACGACCTACACGAGGTACAGATGTTTTGATGCAAAATTCGAGATTTGACACCCTGCAAGTACAGGTCGCATCAAAATTCTGGACAAAGATATCTTTCGCTATAGAACTTTGTGTCGCACAAAAATAGGATTTTCTCCTGATAAAATTATGCTATACAATGAATTGACCGCAAAGGAGCATCTATGGTTTTTCTACTTCATGAAACGACCTAGAGCTATAAAGCTGAAGGGTAAATGGCGGACAGAAGCCGAAGTGTTGATAGAAAGTCTTGACATGGATAGCTTTAAAGACCGGGTAATCATTTTGCCACGAAATTTTTCACATTCCTTTTTATCTCTTCATCTCAATCTTACAGCTTGTTTCACAACTATCGCCATGTCAAAAACGCAAACTCAACGTGGCTCTAGCTTTTGTTGGGGGTAGTCGTATAGTATTTTTGGACGAACCAACTATAGATATGGATCAATCCGCAAAAGAATGTTTATATGAGCTTGTCAGACAGCAAAAGGACTGCAGGTAGATTGTAAACAGAAGCATCAAGATAATTGCCGAATGCACAAATTATCTGATAGTAGCGTCTTTAGAACAATAATGGTCTCAACACAAAATATGGAGGACGCCGAGGCAATGGGCCAGCAGCTATATGTCATGTACATGGGCCGCACTATTTGCAGTGGTGATGTGAACTTCATCAAATCATCGTAAGCATTTTCCTATAAACGATACACGTTTGTCGAATCAAAAAAGGGTAAAGGTATTTGGCGTTTTCGATGAATTCTGCGGGCGTGCGCTGAACGCACTCTACTTCATAGTCCAAGAGACTACTAAATACGTTAGCGCTTATTGCAGTGTGGCTTGTGGGGCTAGCCGATTACCAAGTCAGTGCTTTCATCCTCCCAGATCACTCTGATACCAATCTGCCGTCCCCGGGGGGTATATGGGGTCGTACTTGTATCCATTTGGCTATAGCGGCGCCTCATACCACTACGCCACTCGTCCCCATTTGAGGAATTAGAATCAACCTAAGGTTCCTCCCCCACTCCATTTTCTCAATCTACGGGTTGAGCCAGACCGCGCTGCATATCTTTATGCACATGAGCATACGCGACACGCTAGGTACGCTCACGTGCGTGGATATAAAGTGTGTGCTGCATACGTTGCACAATCTGGCCCAATCCCCGGCTGCTGGATGAAGGAGAAGATAAAGTGGAACGGTTGCAAATTTTGCAATACTAAGCTTTCGTGTCTTCTCATACACACGCAGTTTTACTGTGTTGCAGATTTGGTACGGATTACGTATTAACCATAATGATTAACGAGCAAAATGTTAAAGAGACAATCAAAAGACTCGAAGAGGTGTGCAAATAGCAAATAGGAACACGTTCTAGGCGACCAAGCATTGCAGGGTATCACCGGAATGATTCACGGGGCAAGAATAAGATCTAAGGAAGGGGACCAAATACGCATCGAACTCCCAAGGGATCAAGAGAAAAAGTAAAAATTCCAGTGATATGATATTATGTTTCATGACAAATTGGTATGCATCTCAGTTTCCCCGAAATGTTTGCCAAGCTTGAAGAAGAGCAACAGATGCGTTACGTGAAGGATTACAGATTGACATATGGTGTTATTGAAGAAACATTCATAAAGTGAGTACCAAAGTTTTGCTAAAACCGTCGATGTAATGCTCAAAGTTTTAGAATGGGTGAGACAACGGAAGTGAATCGTAGCACAGAAATGGAACCTCTAGGTTCTGAACCAAATGCTGCTTTTAGGGGTATGCTTGAAAAGGGAAGATAATTATTAATCGAAATTGTACTGTTTAGCTCAACTCTGCATATGGCAATTTGTTTTTCTTATCTGGAAAAAGATACTTTTTTCACTCTTCCATATTCCGCTTATTCTTTATCAAGTCAGAATATTTATTTTCCCGAGCCTGACAGGAAAATTTAAATTTTAGATTGTGCTTCCTGTCTTAGTGTCTGTATACCTCGGCTACTCAATGTCTGTTGATGCAGAACTGCCAAGCGCAAAAGGTCTGTTGTGAATTTGAGCAAGGAAAAAGGCCATTGTTTGAGATTAAGCAGAGATGAACGGTAAGAAAAAGTTAAGTAAGACTATATGAAATCAATTAGAAGTATATAATGTCTATTTTTTTACGTATCAATTAAAGACAACGTTCGGGGATTCGACTCGTAAACTGATCATGAGTAACGCCTTGTAGAAACCGCAAAGAACCTTCAAAATTTGATACCATGTAGCCCGCTAGTCAGCTAAATCAAGCGGTCAGCGAAATGGGTTTTTTTT